CCCTCCTCCCTCTCTGCTTCCGCAGTCCCCGCCGCTCGCCGCATCCGTCCCTGGCCTCGGCGCGCGTCCTCGCCCTCCCCGAGTTGCCTTTTCGCACGCGTGACGCGCCCGCGCTCCCGGCGCTGGGCCCGTCCGGCCCTGGCCACGCCGTGATGCCCTCGCCTCGCCTTGCTCTTGCACGTGCCCACCACGGCCCCGCACCGGTCACGCCCGCTCCGCTGTCGCCGGCAGCCTGCGGCCTCGCCCCAGCGCGTCCTGCATTCGGGCAACGCCACGCCTGGGGCAACGCCCGCACCCGCTGAGTCCTGGCGCCCGTTACCCGTGCCCTTGCGCCCGCTTAGGCCCTTGGGGCCAATGACAGCCGGGGCCCCAAACCCCCCCAAGAACGATTTTATAAAAAAATAATAATAAAAAATAATAATAAATAAAATTATTAATTAATTAATTAAATTAATTGTGTTTAATTAACCTAGTAACTAATTAAACTAATTAACTATTGTTAGTTAACATAACTAATCTGTTAACTAAACTAATTAACCTGGTTAATTAGTTATCAGACAATGACATGTGGGTCCCACTGGACCCACCTGTCTGTTTGACTAGTCAACCGACCAGTTGACCCGCTGACATCACTCTGATGTCATGCCTGCGTCATCATTCACTGTTATGGATAATGTTGGGTTTAAATAAATAATTAAAATCAGAAAATGATTTAAATCTTTAGAAAATCATATCTTTTAATCCGTAATTCGGATGAAAATACTTTCTACATGAAAGTTGCTCAGAACGACGAGACGAATCCGGATACGCAGCCCGTTCGTCCGCCACACACCCCTAGCATACCGAACACGCAACTTTCCCCCTCTGGTTCACCGGTCCGAAAACGCGAAACACCGAGAATACTTTCCCGGATGTTTTCCCCCTTCGTCGGTATCACCTACTACCGCGATTGGGCACACCTAGCATCGTTACTTGTCATGTCATGCATCGATATGCGTTTGTTTGCATTGTATTCATTGTTTCTTCCCACCTCTTCTCTCCGGTGGACTACGAGACCGACGCTGCTGCTGCCCAGTTCGACTACGGAGTTGACGACCCCTCCTTCTTGCCAGAGCAACCAGGCAAGCCCCCCCCCCTTGATCACCAGATATCGCCTATTCTATTCTATACTGCTTGCATTAGAGTAGTGTAGCATGTTACTGCTTTCCGTTAATCCTATTCTGATGCATAGCCTGTCATTGCTGCTACAGTCATTGATACCTTACCCGCAATCCTAAATGCTTAGTATAGGATGCTAGTGTTCCATCAGTGACCCTACACTCTTGTCCGTCTGCCATGCTATACTACTGGGCTGTGATCACTTCGGGAGGTGATCACGGGCATATACTATATACTTTACATTGTTACATTACTGGTGATACTGTTTGGAGATGGGGGCTGAAGGGGCAGGTGGCTCCATCCAGGTAGTGGTGGGCCTGAGTTCCCGACGGCCCCCGACTGTTACTTTGTGGCGGAGCGACAGGGCAGGTTGAGACCACCTAGGAGACAGGTGGGCCTGGCCTTGTTTGGCATTCGCGGATACTTAACACGCTTAACGAGATCTTGGTATTTGATTTGAGTCTGGCTACGAGCCTATACGCACTAACCATCTACGTGGGAGTAGTTATAGGTATCCCGACGTCGTGGTATCAGCCGAAGCACTTCGTGACGTCAGCGACTGAGCGGCGCGCGCCGGGTTGGACTGCGTTAACGCAACTTCCTTTGTAATGGAGGTTGCTAGGTCTGCTCACCGGCCGCGTACGCAACGTGCAGGTGTGCTCAAGGCGATGGGCCCAGACCCCTGCGCGCTTAGGTTTAGACCGGCGTGCTGGCCTCTCCGTTGAGCCTAGGTGGGGCTGCGACGTGTTGATCTTCCGCGGTCGGGCATGACCCAGGAAAGTGTGTCCGGCCAAATGGGATCGAGCGTGTTGGGTTATGTGGTGCACCCCTGCAGGGAAGTTAATCTATTCGCATAGTCGTGATCTTCGGTAACAGGACGACTTGGAGTTGTACCTTGACCTTATGACAACTAGAACCGGATACTTAATAAAACACACCCTTCCAAGTTCCACAGACAACCCGGTGATCGCTTTTCCACAGGGTTACGAGGAGAGGATCGCCGGGTAGGTTTATGCTATGCGATGCTACTTGGAGATGCTACTTGGAGATGCTACTTGGAGGACGTCAATCTACTCTCTTCTACATGCTGCGAGATGGAGGCTGCCAGGAGCGTAGTCTTCGACAGGATTAGCTATCCCCCTCTTATTCTGGCATTCTGCAGTTCAGTCCACTGATATGGCCTCCTTACACATATACCCATGCATATGTAGTGTAGTTCCTTGCTTGCGAGTACTTTGGATGAGTACTCACGGTTGCTTTCTCCCCCCTTTTTCCCCTTCCCTTTCTTTCTGGTTGTCGCAACCAGATGCTGGAGTCCAGGAGCCAGGAGCCAGCGTCGATGACGACTACTACATTGGAGGTGCCTACTACTACGTGCAGGCTGACGACGACGTCCAGGAGTAGTTTAGGAGGATCCCAGGCAGGAGGATCCCAGGCAGGAGGCCTGCGCCTCTTTCGATCTGTATCCCAGTTTGTGCTAGCCTTCTTAAGGCAAACTTGTTTAACTTATGTCTGTACTCAGATATTGTTGCTTCCGCTGACTCGTCTATGATCGAGCACTTGTATTCGAGCCCTCGAGGCCCCTGGCTTGTATTATGATGCTTGTATGACTTATTTATGTTTTAGAGTTGTGTTGTGATATCTTCCCGTGAGTCCCTGATCTTGATCGTACACGTTTGCGTGCATGATTAGTGTACGATTAAATCGGGGGCGTCACAGACACGGTGGCCGGTGTCGGGGAAAGAGAGACGAGATGGGGCGGCGACGACGAGAGAGGGACAACGGGCGAAGGAGAGTGTGACTACCGGCAAGGAGGGGTGGCTTTTTATAGCCGCCGGGGGTGAGACGTGTGTACGCATGGCGAGAGGGGGACGACGCGTCGCCGGGCCTTCACTGCGCCGCCCGTGGGGAATCAATGGAAGGCTGACCGGCGGTAACTTTGGCATTGATTCCTCGCGGGAAACGAGGCGCTAAGGAAGATGACACGCGGTTGGTCACTGACTCAGCGGGCTCGCCGTTCTTTTGCGCCAAAAATGCTTCCCCCGACGCACCTGGGGGGGCCAGCACGCCGGGTTCGTTTAAGATGTTGATAAACTCCATGTTGTCTGAACTGACGAGAATTCTATTGCATCCCGAAGATTCAACAATTAACAAACCTTCGCTGAGCGCAATTGCTTCAGCTGATAGGACATCATGAACCAGAGATATATTTGAATTCTTTGTGGCATTCCTTTATTGCCACAGATAACAACTCCAGCGGTTTGAAAGAAGCATCGACATTAACCTTGACAAAATTTACGGGTGGTGGTGACCAAGAACATTTCCTTACCTTGGGGTGGGGGCTAGCTGCTGCTATAAAATTTTCTGCCCTGCTCCTCTCTAGAATGTTGCCTACTTTCCCCACCACAGGTACCAGCACACAACCGCTATCAATTCGGTTGATGACACCTGCCCCATAACTGGCGATTGAACCAGATGTACCGAAAGTACTCCCTCACAAGCCTCCTCGATCGGATCATCTAAACCTAAGTGTTTCCAAACCTTCTTAGCCCTTGGACATTGAAACAACATCATGTTTTGTATCCTCAGCACCCCTAACACAAACCAGACATCAACCAGGACCTTCGAGTGTCTATTTGCAAGATTAAAACGACAGGGCATGATTCCTTGCATAATTCTCCATATAATTTTTTCAACTTTGCTCAAAACTTTCAGTTCCGCAATAGTGGCCCGTATTGGATGTGGGTTTGTTCCTTCCGCAAGTGCCCTTCGGTTTATTTTCTGCCCATATGAGCCTCCAATTCAACATGGTAAGCCGATTTCACCAAGAACATGCATGATCTAGTAAGAGACCATGCCACAAAATCTTCCATTTGGTAATCAGCTAGCGGGATAGAGAGGATTATGCGCACATCAACAAACCAGAACATCTGAGTAACAAGATCCTCAGCCCACCGGTTTGTGTTTGGATTAATCAAATCATTTACATTTGCAAACCGTTTTGTGGAAAAAGCAAAAAGCAAACAATAGACACCCCCAAGTTAAATGTTTTCACATGAGCGCTCGGTCAAAACAGAAAATGCACTTTGGATAATGAAACAGGAAACCAGCATATTGCTCAAAGTTATTGACAACTTGAACAGAGATAACAGGTCCATTTCAAATTAAAGTAATGAACTGATGTAATAAAGAAATTTGTAGTGCATCTGTAAAAGGAGGGAAATGGCAACAATCAGCTTATGGCAGTAAGATGCATATCTCCGGATAGTACAGTTAGCACCCTGTGACTTAAATGGTACTCCAATAATGAACTAACATTATCCATCTTCTTTATCATACACGGAGTCATGGAGTATCAACTAAAACAGCAGAAGTCAACATTCATTGAGCAGTCAGCAGTCACGTGACAGCAGATGTCCTGAGCGACAAACACAATCCATCTTTTATATGAAGAGATCAACAATGGTAAGCTGAACCGTGCGTTGCAAAACAGAGCGAAGGACCAAAGCAATTCAAAAAGTGTGAGTAAGATGGACCAAATCAAAACAAGCTGCAAATCAACAGATCACACATCATTCGGAACATACTTGCTGGAGCATATCCGCTAAATTGACCCAGGAATGCATCTAAAGATCAACATTTCACAGCTACACATACATGACCAACATGACATTAATAGTTTCTCGCAAAAAGCTAAAGAGTTACCAGGGACTGCTTAGATGATTTTTCAAAGCACAGGATCTAGATACGCACAATAAATTTTGGTGGAACTGCTTTCATCATACCAGTCATTCTGCTGACAGAAGCACTCATAATCTAGCATTGTAGCTTTTGGATCTGCTCTAAAGAAAGCTTTGGCGAGCACGGCTCCTCTTCTCCCACACATCTGCTAATGGAGAAGGAGAACCTCTTTTCAGAAGCTGGTACCCTTGGCTTGCCACCACAGCATCGACTCTGTTGGAAGGGGCCATAAAATTGACACAAGCTTCTTTAAGCTTCTGGCAATTGTACTTATCAGCTAGCCATAGTGCACTAGCCACATTCTCCACATTAAGGTTCATAACCAAGGTGCCTGCACACATAAGCTTCAACCTCTCTAAACCATATTGATCCGCAGCTGCAAGTAGATGCTGGAAAACAGCATTGCTTTCAGCTCTAGTGAAATCATCCATCACAGGCAAGGAATCGGTGTAAATGAAATGGAGGAGAGCCTTGAAAACCGCTGGTTCCACAGAGTTGATGGTTATGCGGCTCATCTTCTCCTTCATGGGTTCGCTGAACTGCTTCCGGAAGACAGGTGACCGCGCAGCAAGCACCGCCCTGTGGGCAGCAAATGTTTCTTGTTGAACGTCGAAGGTCACATCTGCTGCGGACGTATCCTCTAACATCTTGCGAAAATGCTGTAGTGCGTTAGGGGGTGGCACATCAATTTCACACAATGGTTTAGTTTCAGACACCCTTAATTGGCCTAAAACAGTGATGACACATTCGATCACAAGGCAGTCATCTCGGACATACACTGAATCCTCCAACGCCTCCCTTCTTATACACCTCTCCTTACCCCAGGTAGCCTCTGCGAAGCTGTCAGATTTGAATCGAAATGGCTCCTCATCCTCTTCAAAGAATACACTTGACAATAACGATTTGGGCTTTCCAGTGACTTGATCAATCAGTCTTATGTCGACGACCGCTGGCGCCTTCCCATACTTGCTCATGAACTCAACAAAAACTGATATGAATCCCTCACTGTCGTCGCCATAACCCTCTGGGTAGTACAAGATAGCCCAGTCGAATCCCCCAACCCTGAAGGTGCTGGAGCGGATGAAACCATCAGCATTGACGTCCATGCCAACAATACCGTGACTAAACTGACAGATCTTCAATCGGTGGGCGCCTTGCACTGCCTGATATGCGCAGGACGATATGGTTGTTGACGCCATTACTCTCTGCTTTGTGTGCTGTGGTGCCCCTGCAACATTAGCACATTCGTGTACGTTAAATATATCTATCTACAAGAAATCAATCGCTTAATCGTACTCCCTCCGTCCCACAATATAAGATCGTTTTGCAAGCTGTTACTAGATAGATCGAACTCATAAAGTTCCAGAGGAAAAGAGAAGATGCAATGCCTGATTCCAGTTCTAGGTGGAATCAAGAATGGATCCACATTTCACCCAATCACCAAAAAAAGAAACGAATTCCTGTTCTAAGAGGAATCAAGAAAGCACACGCATTGGTTCCAATAATCCATAGGATCCAAAAGAAGACGGCGAATGTCGGATTGAAGCAACCTAGACGGGGGGCTCCTTACCTTCAATGTTGCCGGCGGCGGACCTACAGCGTGTTGGCGGCAGGGGGGGTGGTGCGTGGCGGCGGCCGTGCCTTTCGCTCTTCGCGCTATGGAGCAGAGGTGCCCAAACCCAGCACACGCGTAAACGGACCTGGCATGGCACGGCACGCGGAAACCTGTTTATAAGCGGGCCGTGTCATTCTGACACGCGGGCCGAGCACGGCACATTAACTAAACGGGCCAGTCCAACACGGCGGAATGTGTGCCGGGTTTCGGGGCATTTTTAGCCTTTTGGGCCAATTACCTTTAAAAAAATAAAAAATAAAAATAAATAAAGGTCCATGTCAGAGACCTCCTCTTCGGGGGAGCTCCTAGTCGGCGCTGCAAGCGCCGGTTAGCGCTCGCAGCGGGAGCTAGCGGGCTGGCCCAATCGACGAGAAAAAACAGTAAAAGACTACGATGCAAAAACTGGAACTCGAACCCATCACCTAAGGAATAGCAACCTAACACCCAAACCACCAGAGGAGCTCAGCTTGTGAACTACCAGAAACGATGTAGGTTTGACCACTCCTCTACAGATATATAATATACCCAGAGTTAGTTATTTGAAAAAGAAATTCACAAAAAAATCATGAATATGAAAAATGGTTCGTGAAAAATGGAAAAAGATCATCAATTTCGAAAAAACCTTCATCCTTTTTGAAAAAGTTCACAAATTTGAAAAGAAAATTCACTATTTTTGAAGAAAAGTTCATCGAATTCGAAAAAGTTCATCAAATTTCAAAAAAAGTACATGGATTTTGGAAAGAAATCATTGAATTGAAAAAATGTTCATCAATTTTCAAAGAAGTTCATCACAATTTGAAAAAGTTCATGGATTTCGAAAAAAATCATCGATGTTGAAAAAACAAGTTCACAGATCTGAGAAAAGTTCATCAATTTTCAAAAAGTTCATCGGATTTGAACAAAGTTCATCATATTTTTAAAAAGTTCATCGAATTGAAAATAGTTCATTGGATTTGAAAAAAAAGTTCATCGGATTGAAAAAAGTTCATCAGATTTAGAAAAGTTCACTGATCTTTAAAATAAGTTCATCAAAATGTTAAAACGTTCATTCATTTTGAAAAGAGAGCTAATCAAGTTTGAAAAAAAGTTCATTGAAATTGAAAAAAAAATCAGCAAACTTGAAAAAATTTCATTGATTTAAAGAAAAATTTCATGAATTAGAAAACAATATCGTCTATTTCGAAACATTTCACGCACTTAAGAAAAAAGGAAACAGGAAACAAAAAAATAGGGAAAAAAACATGGAGAACATAGTGGGCATTTCCTGCATTTATAAGAAGGCTGAAAGGAGGTTTGTAATCGCGAGTGGCGTAGGTGGCCTAGTGGTTACTGGAGGGATCTAGCAATAGAAAGATCGCTGGCTCGATTCCTGGGTACGCACACGTTCCCTTTGCCATCCTTTTTTGAGTGTCAAACAGGTACTTGGGCCGAGCCCATCTAACTCCGCTGCAGGCGCCAGTTTGCGAAAACAGCTGTAACCGGCGCCCGCAGCGCCAAATAGGGATTACCCCTCTTCGGCGCCTTATGCGCCGCTTCGCTCGGCTGGCGCTCGTAGCAGCCTCGCACGGGCCGGCCCAGCTAGCGCGATCGCTATTTCCGTTCGGTTCGAGGCAGGTGCGTTCGTTCGTTTCTTCCTTTGTTTTTTTTTCGGTTTTCGTCGCTTCTTCATTCATCTAGAAATAACATGGATTAAAATTTTATGAACTTGAAAAAGTTCATCAGTTCTGAAAAAAGTTCATCAACTTTGAAGCAAATTTCACAAAAAATGGAAAAAGTTCATCGAATTTCAATAAAAGTTCGTGAACTTTGAGAACAGTTCATCAAAATTTGAAAAAACAATTCATCAAAGTTGAAAATAGTTCACCAAGTTTGAAAAAAGTTCATCAAAAATTGAAAAAAAGTTCATCAAATTTGATAATAGTTCACCGAGTATAAAAATAGTTCATCGATCTAAAAGAAGTTCATCGGAAATTGAAAAAAGTTCACCGAGGTTGAAAAATTTTCATCGAAAATTGAGAAAAAAGTTCATCAAATTTGAAAATAGTTCACCAAGTTTAAAAAATCATTGAATTTGAAAAAAGTTCATCGAAAATTGAAAAAAAGTTCACCGAATTTGAAAAACAGTTAATTGAATTCGAAAAAGGTTCATTAAAATAGGAAAGCGTTCATCAATTTGCAGAAAAAAATCATGAAGAGAGAATGTTTCTCGAAATAGAAAAAAGAATGGAAAAAGGAACGGATGAAGAAGAAAAGAGTGCAAACATGTATGTGAACACAAGATGTGAAGTGGTTGATTGGTTATCGTTCTATACTCTAGGTTGCTGTTCGCGGGATCGAATCACAGATCTGGCGCAATTTTTGCAGTTTAGGAAACAAGAAAAATAAATCAAAATGGGTCGGCCCGACCGTGATGAGGGGGTGTGCGCCCGTTAGTAGAATGAACAGTATCGGGCGCTGAGGGCGCCGAATAGGATTTGGCTCCGTGTCAGGCCTCATCTTGGCGGAAAACGGGCGTGCCACGAGCCAAAAACGGGCCGTAGTCGCATGCCTGGTCGGGTCCATTACGTGTCGGGCACGCGTCATCGTGGGTCGACCCACGAAAAACACCTGTTTGGCCAGCTCCATTAGGGAGGGTCCCAATATACAATTTTTTTCATGGGAACTAGTATTAATATGTCCTAAATCCTCACTGTCACACAATACCACATGGTTGTTAATAGGGCCGAGATATTCGTCACCCTCTCTTATTATATCACTACACCACATGTTTACGTCCCATAATTTTGTACTACATCGAAAGTGAAATGAGAAGGTCTTCGATTTCATGGTCCAATTTGAGGTAGGGAACGATCTTCAGATACTGATACGTCTTCAACGTATTTATATTTTTTTATTGTTCCATGTTATTATATTATCATTTTTGGATGTTTTATATTTAATTTATAGCAACTTTATATCATTTTTGGGGACTAATCTATTGACATAGTGTCCAGTGCCAGTTGCTGCTTTTTGCTTGTTTTTTTACTTCGCAGAATATCAGTACCAAACGGAGTCCAAACGCAGCGAAACTTTTTGGAGATTTTTTCTGGACCAGAAGACACCCAGTGGGCCAAGAAAGCACCAAAGGGGAGGCCCGTGGGGAGCACAACCCACCAGGGCATGCCTAGGAGCCCAGGTGTGCCCAGGGGAGTTGTGTCCCCCACGGAGACCTCCCCCACCACCTCTTCGCCCAATAAATTCTCAAATATTCCAGAAACCCTAAGATAGTCGACGAAACACAATTCCAGTTGCTGCAAGTTCGAGAACCACGAGATCCAATCTAGACACCATCACAGAGGGGTTCATCATTCTCATTGGCGCCTCTCCGATGATGCGTGAGTAGTCCACCATAGACCTACGGGTCCATAGGCAGTAGCTAGATGGATTCCTCTCTTTTTTTGATTTTAAATACAATGGTCTCTTGGAGATCTATTTGATGTAACTATTTTGCGGTGTGTTTTTTGGGATCCGATGAACTTTGAGTTTACGATCAGATCTATATCCATGAATATTATTTGAGTTTTCTTTGATCTCTTATATGCATGATTATTTATAGCCTCGTATTTCTTCTTCGAATCTTTGGTTTAGTTAGGCCAACTAGATCGTTTTTTCTTGCCATGGGAAGAGGTGCTTTGTAACACCCACGATGCGGCTATATCTCCCACGTGTCGAAGCACGACTTAGAGGCATAACCGCATTGTGGTTTTGTCGCAAGAAGGGTCATCTTCACACAATCCCATGTAATGAACAAGAAAGGGATAAAGAGTTGGCTTACAATCGCCACTTCACACAATGAACATATAATAAGTCATACACCATTCAGAGTACATACATATAGTCCGACTACGGACGAAGCCAAAAGAAAAGAAGATAACCCAACTGCTAGATCCCTGATCGTCCCAACTGGGCTTCACTACTGATCAATAAGAAACAAAACATAGCAACAACTAAGATCTTCGTTGAGCTCCCATCTGAGCTCTGTTGCATCACCTGCACTGGTATCATCGGCACCTGCAACTGTTGTGATAGTATCTGGTGAGTCACGAGGACTCAGCAATCTCAAAACCCGCGAGATCAAGACTATTTAAGCTTATGGGTAGAAAGTGGTAAAGTGGTGAGGTTGCAGCAGCGACTAAGCATGGTATGGTGGCTGACATACGCAAATAAGAGTGAGAAGAGAGCAAATGGAACGGTCGTGAACTAGCAATGATCAAGAAGTGATCCTGAACTCCTACTTACGTCAAACATAACCCAGAAACCGTGTTCACTTCCCGGACTCTGCCGAGAAGAGACCATCACGGCTACACACGCGGTTGATGCATTTTAATTTGGGGACAATTACATTTTTACCCCTAGTTGGTTCCTACCCACGGGTTTTGCCCTTACTTTTCGAGCTTGCTCAGTTTTGCCCTTACTTTTTCTGTCGAGATCCCTCGAATGCCCTTTGACTGTTTGACCAAAACTTTGAAAATTCATAACTAATTCATATGAACTCAGAAAAATGCAAATAAGATATCAAAATGTTCAGATAAACATTACCTTTAT